CGGGGGGGGGGGGGGGGGGGGGGAGGGAGAATTGGGAGAAAAAAATTCTTTTTCTAGGTTGGTTAATGAATTTCTGGTGGGAAAAGAGTTGTAAGAATTGATAGAGCTGGGTGAAAAAGAGTTGGGTGTGCGTTTCTATGTGCAAGTGAAGTCTGTCTTTCTTTACTTCTCTATTTGAATGCTTTTATTGCATTGAAAGTGATGAGATATACATAACTCTTTTAAGCATTAACAAACACAGCAAATTTCACCCGCACATACTATTTGGAAAAAAAAAAAATGCAGATATTTGTTAGCTTGGGAATATTTCCACGGCTTAACATACTGACCCTTGCACGTTCATTCAACCAGCCAGCTTCCCGTCGAATAAGAAAATTTCTCTTTCAAAGTTGAGCAAATTAGTTCTGTAATTAACAAGACCACATAAAGCAGATCTCTTCTCTAGGATGCCCATTAGCTTTGTGGCATATGCCTGGGAAACTGGGAATAAGACTTTTCTTCCTATGTAACAATTTGGTTTCAAAGTACACTGTTGGTCATAATTTATTGATCCATGAGCTCCTATACATCAATTCTGATTTTTAACATGCATTGAATTTAATTTGGCTTGTTTGCCTTGGAATTGTTGTATGAAAGCCGTTATAATCTCTCTCTCTTATTTTTTTATTTTTAATTTTTTTTTATGATATGGCTCCAGAAGAAAAATGACACATCATAACGATCCCAACTATGTATCTGGCTTATCATTGGTTTCAAGTGAAACATGGAAATCATTAAGTAATCTTTTACACTGATTAAAACTCATCAATCCAATTATCCGCCTGCCTATAGTCTTCTTTAGACTTTGCAGCATGTTTATTTCTTTTTCTTTTGCCATAGCTACACTTGGCCTCAGGATAATTTTTACTAAGAAAATCTGGAAGGATAGACTTTGTTTTTTATCATTAAAATTTATGACTTATTCACTTGTGCGAGTAGACCTTGTTGTTGTGAGAATTCTTAATTCATGAGTTGTAGGGAGGGATTTATGTTACCACAAACAAAATACATCAAAAAAATCATGGTAAAACAACGACTCCTTCCCCTTCCTTTATTGATAACTTTTGTCATTAAATGTTGATTGCCATGAGATATCAGGGTATCTAAACTAGGCAAGAGAGGTCTGTTTTCTCCAGATCTCATAATGTATTAGAATCTAAATGTGACTGGTATAAGACAAAGTGAGATTGGTTGATAATTAATTTTAGAATTAATGAAGATTAAGGAGTTCTAAACAAAATGACAAAAGTGTACAGAGATCTTTTCCGGGCTTTTCCTGATGGGCAAAATCATGCGAAAAAAAAGAAAGTCTATCAAATAAAGTTGAGCATTAAAGATCTAAATGTCTTCATGTAGAAACTTGATTCTTGGTTGTTCATAGCACCATATTCTTGGTGTATAAATCACTCATTCAACTGCGCACAAGCTAACATGAAATGAAAACGCGTTAAAAACATTGGCCAATGAACTCTTCAATCTAACCTCTTTTAAGTCGAGCATTCAAATTTCAGAAACCTAAATTAGAGAAGTTGTTTCAAGTTTAGACAACTACGTTAAGTTTTGTGCACTCAATTTTCTGCAAATTGATAGTTCTTGTCCTTCATTTGATATATATTTAATTGAACACACTTTATTTGTCAGATGACAACTGCAATATCCATTGAAGATGTTCGCAGAGAAGTGAAAATTTTGAAAGCACTTTCAGGCCATAAGCATCTAGTTAGATTTTATGATGCTTGTGAGGATGCCAACAATGTGTATGTAATAATGGAGTACGTATTTCCTTATCTTCCAAAGTTACACTTGTTTATGCATGGCTTGTGCAATTGATCCTTCTTTGTTATTATCATTCAGATTTTCTTTGAAAACAATGCAGTGAAAGTGTGAAATAGTAAACCTAAAACTCGTTGATTCGAATGAATATAGAGAATATGATATGAAGGTTCGAATCATGCCACCTTTCTTGTGGACCATCCTTTGGTTACCGGATGATGGGAATAACAAAGCAGAAAAATAGAGAATACTTTTGAAGATTACTTAATTCAATTCAATCTGGCAGTCTTTGTATCAAAATCCTGATTTAATTAAATTATAAAACAACCCACAAAATAAAGAAAATTATAAGAACAGGCACAATTCCCGAGACAATGGAAAAGTGCAGTTTGATACCCAAAATGTTGTATTTGGCCAAAATCCCACCATTTATGATTAAAAAGAAGGTAATATTCACCCAAATCCAAAACTATTGACTGAAACTGGTCAAAGACAAACTGGGCCTGTCAAAGTCTTCTTTGGGCCTTAGGATCATCTGGAATGTGGATGTCAAAAAACTTGTGCTCAGTTGGAAAATGTTATTTTTTGGTTTCTGTCTTGCTTGGATATTATTTCATGCTTTCCGTTTTCTAAAGGATTTTGGAGTTTGGTTTGAGGACTATATTTAGCCAGCTTTATCATAATCATTTTGGTTTTATTTAGCTTTTCCATATTGGGGGTCCTTAGTCCACCTTTAGTAAATAGATGTCATACAATAATTTAGTGTTACTGGTTTACTTTTCTTTTCTAATTTTTACTGGAGAGCTATTAGTTGTACCCATTATTCTTCGTGTCTCTTTGCTGTATCATGTGAATAATTGAAACCAATTATTAGCTCTTTTCTTTTCTCGTAGGCTGTGTGATGGCGGAGAACTACTGGACAGAATATTGTCGAAGTGAGTGAACTTACTTTATCTGTATCTAACAAATAAGCCCCAGGACCTCCATATATGGGTGACAAAATGTTTTTCTTCTGATATTTTCCATTTTTGATGGATGCTGTTTGTACCTGATATTTTCCCTTTTTTGATGGATGCCTGTACCTGTTACTTATCCATTGCAGAGGTGGTCGATATACTGAAGAGGAGGCAAAACTTATCATTGTACAAATTCTAAGTGTAGTTTCATTTTGTCACCTCCAAGGGGTTGTCCACCGTGACTTGAAACCTGAGGTATATGGAGAGCCTTTATCACCCAATAATTTTTTGATGCTTTTAATGGTCGTTTTTCTGCTAAGCTTCTCATTGATGTTGATTGAATTACCTGTATTGCAGAATTTTCTTTTTACCTCTAGAAGAGAAGATGCTGATATGAAGCTTATTGATTTTGGTCTTTCTGACTTTATCAGGCCGGGTAACTATCATATAAAGTTTAACCCGTTTTCTCGTTTCTTAGTTTATTGTATGAAGTCAGTTTGAATTCTATATATGGCTTGTCAATAACCATTTTTTCAACGTCTCTTTGCAATCAAATTCAGTAGAAATGCTTGGAGCCACACTGTCAAACTTTATGTGCCTCAGGAGCATCATATTCCTTGTTTGTTGGTGTATGCTACTTGTTGCTTTTTGTACTGCCATACCATTGCAATAACCAACTTTATTTATTTTCAAGTTCAATAGAACAGCTGAGATGTTGGCATGCTTCAAGACTGAAGTACAGATGAAAACAAATTAGGTTATGATAGGTTTGATTGTTGGTTACTTTTTACCTGATGAGGGTGATTTGTTGGAAAACATCTCTCGTTTAATGCCTTGATCATTTGTGAGTTATTTGCTGACGAAATGAACCAAATTCTCTTAGAAAGCTAAGCCTGGCTACAGGCAAGTAGCTATTTTGCTGGCATTTTAAATTTTCACTCTCTAGTCTCCAGCCTCTCTTTTTGCAGAGCATGACTTTCTATGATTTTTTGTAGTTTGCATGATATCGCAGTAATTAACTTATTTATCAGTGTTATTTTCTGTTGTCCAGTTGCAAGAATTTTCTAATTTTGGCATTTGATTCGTGACGACAGATTTTTTTTTTTTTTTTTTTTTCAAAATAGACGAAAGGCCCGTTTGGCATGGCTTTTGTAAAGCCAACTAGAGCTTTTGAGCCTCAAAATTTGCTTTTGGACTCCTTTGACTAATTTTATGACAGTGTTTTTGATAGTTAGAAGATCTTTTAGAACTTTTGGAGCTTAATAAGAAGTGTTTTTAGAAATTAGTTTCCAAATAAAAATTGAGGTTGCTTCCTCCAAAATCTCTTCTATAGGAAGCAAAAGCAAAAGCTATGCCAAACAGGCCCAATGTAGACTTAAATAGAATGATGCTTATAGTGTTGGTCCAATATGCCAAGAAAGTTGTAGCAAAAAGAAAGGTTATTATCGGCTTGGGCATATCATTCCTTTATAATCAACAGCAGTCTTTTATAGCTTCAATTTTTACGGTGTACCCTGAGAATCAAGAGAAAAATAATCTCTTTTGTCATCCAAAATCTTTGTTTCTGCAGATGAAAGACTAAATGATATTGTTGGAAGTGCTTATTATGTGGCACCAGAAGTACTCCATAGATCTTATAGTTTGGAGGCTGATATTTGGAGCATTGGCGTTATCTGCTATATTTTGCTATGTGGAAGCAGACCTTTTTGGGCAAGGACAGAATCTGGAATATTTCGTTCAGTATTAAGAGCTGATCCAAACTTCGAGGACATGCCTTGGCCTTCTGTCTCACCACAAGCCAAGGACTTTGTAAAAAGGCTTTTAAACAAGGATTACAGAAAAAGAATGACTGCTGCTCAAGCTTTGAGTAAGTAATCCACTACTTTTACTGCTGTGTAGAATTCCTTGAAAGTGCCAAATTTCACTTGCTTATGTAATTCCATGGATCTTTCAACTGTTGTAGCTGTCTAGGATGTTAATTTTGCTTTTTACATATATGTACTGGAAGTTGTTGCTGGAGGTCATTTATTCAGTTATATGTTTCTTTGTTGGGGAGCTATAATTATTTCTTGAAAATGCTGTAATCACTGAGGACCTGTCATCTACATTTCTCTGTTGATTCGCAATGCACTATCTGTTTATACTTCTCTTGTCAATACATGAACTGATGCAAACATATTGAAATGCAGCACATCCATGGTTGCGAAGCGAGAGCTATCCTATTCCTTTAGATATATTAGTCTACAAGTTGGTTAAGTCATATCTACACGCTACACCTTTCAAACGTGCTGCGCTAAAGGTATTGTTTTATCTGATTGGAATGATTCACTTATTGCTTTTTCAAGCTGCGAGTATTTGAATCAGAATTCTTTATATGATTTTACTATTTTAAAGAGCTAAATGCTTGTTTAGCTGTCTATATGTTTACTTAATTGTTTGTGTTGTGTGTAATGCTTTACATTTCACATGTGCGGTCATTGATGTTGGATTGAAGCACATCATGGTCAATTTATGTCTCAAAACTCCCTGGGTGTTCAAGTAAAATATGATCATCTAGACTTTAAATTCTGTACAGGCACCGGCTGAATTGCATGAGTTGCCATATGGCTTATCAGTAATACTTTTGAAAATAATTTATTACTTTGGAAAAATTTTATATCATATATTAATCTTTGCACATAATATTGGTGTGAACACTTGTGTTACATATAGAATTTTATAGGACCTTGTATACTTGATTAATAAATATTGAACTCATGATACGAGCCTGTGTGGCTGTCTGAAAGGAAAATAAATTTCCCTTACACAATTTTTTGTCCTGGAACATATTTGGATAACTTGTTTCATGCTTTAAGTTACAAAAGTTACTTTTTAGGGGAAAAAAATAAAATTTATTTACTATCAAAATAAGTAACTTCTTGCTAACTTTCCCTAATAAAAAATAATTGATTTTGTTTTAAATTTACATTTTTACTTATTCTAGCAAATCTACTTATAAGTAAACTTCTTAGCTTAGCCAAACATGATCATACTCTGCAACATCAGGACACATCTTATATTTTATGGTGTGGTGAAAGATTGTTGTGACTCTTGCAAAAGTTGATCTGATTAATTTTCATGAAAGTTTTGACATTTTTGTCAGCGACATGTAGAGGACATGATATAAAGTAAAACAATAATATAACTCGCAGACACTTCCATAAATATAAACAGACTCGAAATTTTAGAGACAGGAATTTGAAATATCTCTTATAATTAGCACTGTAAAAGATCTTTTGCCAATTTTGACTATCACTGCTTTAAAAAATTTGAACTTTGGGATGTGGAATTTAGTTGGTTCCAAGAATTTTGTTAACTTACAGAATATGTATTGATCCTTGAATGGAGCATCATAGTTTCATTTGGTGAGACATCACCCTTTGTTTTGGGAAGTCTGATGTATCACCAGTCCCATTTACTTAGCGGGTGTAATTGGGTCAAATTCATGTGATTTAGAATGATATAGTTGTGTATGCCAGCTATAACAAGACTGTTTCTACCTTAATTATTTGTAAAACTTGTCCCTTACTTTTCTTTATCATTGCTGGGATTCATTTGATGGGGATGGACCAATCATTTTTGCTCTTGAGTTCTCGTGCAATGTTAATGGCGTCTATTGCTTGTTATATTTTGTCGTGCTTTATTAACCGAAGTATTGTTTTCTCTTTCATGATATTGTCTTCAATCTTGCTGCTTTTTACCTACTGATATATCAATAAAAGAATTTCTACCTGCTCCAAAAATTGGTTTTTTATTTGCTTCCCCCTGTTATATGTAGGTGTTCTATTTTTGAAATAATTGAAAAGAAAATGACGGATCACCTTTTAGTAACTAAAAAGTCGTATATTTTCAATATCAGAATGTATTATGTATTTATTGCCTAGTATCTTATATCAAATTTCCAAATTGAACTTGTTCACCTAGTTGGCTGCAAATGCAATAGCTCCATTTTTATTTTCAGTCCATCAGCTGTAAGATAACTTTATCTTGAGCTGTAAAGTAATATTTTGATTTGTTTCTACTATACTTGCAGGCTCTATCGAAAGCTTTGACTGAGGATGAATTGGTTTATCTTAAAGCTCAATTCATGCTTCTGGAGCCCAAGGATGGGCTAGTCTCTCTTGACAACTTCAAAATGGTCTCTCTCTCTCTCTCTCTCTACATATATATAATCTGACTCTGTAAATGTATACACATCCACACCTCACTCCCTTCCTATGCAAGATCATTGTATTTTTATCTTTTAAAGAGAGTCCTTACATACTACTGGTGATTTGGTGAAAGTGATGAACCCAATTAATCCTGTTTGGAAATTGAAAGGCACTTAGACGCCTTTGGAAATTACATTAAACCCTACTTGTGCACTTGGAGAAACTATTTTAGGAGATCTTCACTGATCCTAGTTTGGCTTTGTCTTCTTACTACAATGTTTGTTTTTAATGAACTTTTGGCTTTTCAAAAAAAAAAAAATAAATAAATAAATAAATAAAATGAAGAAAGAGGTTATTCCTTGATATAGAGAGTATTTTATCATTTTAAGCCCCATTTTGGTAAGAAAATGTATTTTGGAATAGTGACTTTTTGGAGAATGTGGTTGAAAATAAGTTTTGAAAAAATGGGGGTCAAGCATAGGCTAAATTGATGCTGAAAGGAGGATGCCACTTGAATTTCAGGCTCTTGCACGGAATGCCACCGATGCTATGAAGGTCTCTAGGGTCCCCGATATTCTACACACGGTCAGCTTCTGCACTTGTTTATTTTTATGAGAAATATATATATATCTTGCATATTTCAAATAATTTTCTATAATTTATTAATCTTTCTTTATGAGCTAGATTTTAAGTCGTGTAATAATAACTGTGAAATACTTTGTCCAGTATGGAACATTCTCATTTTTGTCTGAAATATATTAATTCATCAAATATCGTCTTCATTACCAAAGATCCTTATATTGCATAATCCCAGCCACAACTTTGAAGATAAAAATGTAAACTAACACATCAAATGCTCACTTTTTCAACTGTCTTTGAAAGCTTCATGCCAAATGAGTTGGACAAATGGAATCCCAGACTGTTATTGGGATTTTTTTTATCCTCTCCTTCATCAGAGTAACTTGACCCTTTTAATGAGGTCTTTTTCATTTTCAGATGGCACCATTGTCTTATAGGAAGATGGACTTTGAAGATTTCTGTGCAGCTGCAACCAGTACGTATCAATTGGAGGCCCTTGACAAATGGGAGCAAATTGCATCTACAGCATTTGAGTATTTTGAACAAGAGGGTAACCGAGTAATATCAGTAGAGGAATTGGCTCGGGTATCTACATTTATGGCTTTACCAGTTTTGTATAGCTCAGTTATTCTGTTTGATTTATACATAGATATATTAATCAAAGAGGTCCTAAGTTTGTGCTTTATTTATGCAGGAGTTGAATGTGGGCCCCACTGCTCATTCTGTGCTCAAAGATTGGATAAGGAGTGACAGAAAACTCAGTTTACTTGGATATACCAAATTTTTGCACGGTTTGACGCTTCGTAACTCAAATACAAGACATCACTAGCTTTTCCTTTCTCATTTTTCTTCTTCTTCTTCTTCTTTTTCCTCCTCTTCTTATTTTCTTCAAATTATCATTTGGTCAAAATGGCAATTAAAGATTCAATCATTCAAAAGATCATGGGAAGTTTTTACATTTAGGATTGGGAAAAAAAGTCTTTACAGATGTACTAGGTAACTAGATGATGTTTAGGCCGTTTGGAAGTCAAGAATTTCTTCATGCTAACATGTACAGTAACTTGGACTGTACGTGTTTTTGTCCATCAAAGAAGTATTCTCAAGTTTTCAACAAATATAAAAACGAGGCTCTATAACTGTGTCAATAGTTCACATCGTAGAATTTTTGTCTATTAATATTCCTACCGGGATTTCAGTACTTATTAGCAATCATGATTGTGTATATGTTACAAAGATCAGCATTTATGCTTGGTAATGCTGCATCATTTTTTAATCTTCAGTCTTATTTTTATCTTTGGCAAGTATTTTAAGTGCTTACAGTTTGTTGAGTTCCTTGTTACCTTGTTATGTTTGATATGAAGCTGCACTAATCACTGCTGGGTGTATGAGTTCTGATGGTGTAGGCATGTTTGGAATGTTAGATTGTACATGACAACATACAAATATCTTACGTGTTCCTATTTATTTAATCGTGTTTAGGTCCGTTCGTCCCCCAATCAAACGTGTTTAGGAAGTTCATGAAAAGTGGATGAGACGAAATTTATTTATTTGATACTTATCGAACTAAGGATAGCGAGATTACTCGTGCCAATGCATTGTCTGGCTCCGAATGGGGCGAGAATTGAGAACTTGATTCTTGTCCGAAGGGTTGCTCATCATGCCCCCCCCCCTATCGTGGATTTCTCTATCAATCATGCTCTGAATATTACGAATTTCTTTTGACATGGCAAGGAATTGTAATTATGCCCTTCTGATCAAATCCATATTCTTCTTCAGCTTCTTTTAACAATTGGATAAACAATGGATGATTGAAATAAATAACTTGAACCACAAATCTCTGTTGATCATCTCCTTGTCCAACTTTTATGCAGCTTCCCCTGGCGGCGGAGGAACGGGGATTTATTTTTATTTTTTCTTGTCACCACCCATTTTCAAGAAAATAAGTAAAGCCTCAAGCACCTTTTTTTAGTGCAAACTTAATAGAAGAGAGTTAAAGAAGGGTGTGAAAACCCATGACAAAATAAAAACATAGGAACCAGAATAATAGACAACATAAAATCTCTCAAAGATTCCAAAGGGAAGATAAAGAGAGAATAGAGCAAGAGAGATTTTGTGTGCATTATATAGCAGATTTAGATAAGCATATAACACACAAGATGAAAATAGAACATGTCTACTTAAAATTTCGAGAATTTTTCAATGTTCTGAGCAATTAGAGAAAAGTTAAAAGAGTAACTCGAGAAAGTCCAGGTAAAATAAGACAGCGATTGAACGTCTTAACTGGCTAATAAGTATGTAAACATCGCTCGAGTTGAGTAATTTGGCTAGTTTTGACAAGTTGATTTTGGAAGCATGCAAAACTTCATCGGTTATCATCCAATTGAACGTTCCATTCTAGGTTATGAGTTGTGGTTTAGAAATTAGAGGTTAAATAATATGAAACATTTGCTCGATGATTTATTGAGACTGATATATTGAACATGTCATAATGCATAATAATGTTGAGTTGCCTCAACGTGAACTAGTAAGTAAACACATAATTCAAAAAAAAAATTCTTTTAAAAAAGAACCATCTTTGACATATTAGCAAAATAAAAAATGCATTTAATCGTTTTTATTCTCTTTTCGTATAGTAAGATATAATTTTGGGGACTCAGTTACACTGACATATTCTTGATTTTATTCGAATATATGTAGTAAGTTCCAACATGCTAGGACGACACTCGAGGATCGTATTGACTGGGGTGAAATACGTGTTTAGTTCTCAACAAATTACATAGGTTCGGATAGAGGGTGGATATAGAGAATTACAGTCTATATGGTCGCTATATGATGTTGATTTTTTTTAAAATGCTTTAGTTATATTCACAATCCCCATATAGATATAGCAAACTCAAACATAATAATAGGTTCGACTCCACTCGAAAGAGATTGTTGAATAATTTAGGGACATGGTCATCAACACAATATTACCAATAACTTGGTTATATGAATTAAACTAGAAAATTTTGTAGAGTTGAAGTCCTAGTCTTTCATATTTGAATTTTCTCTAAGTTTGCGTTAATCCGTTTTCCTAGTTTTCCAGTTAAAGATCATGAAATAAAACTTAATGCAATTTACATTTTTCCAATTAGAGTTAGAATAAGTAATTTCAAATATAAGATGCACAATTTTCATGAAATCAACAGTAGCCTGATATCCATTATTACTAATTAACTTTAGAGCCACATTTATTATTCTAAACTGACGAAAAGTTCAAGCTTTTTCAAGACAGGTGATGATCTTTTCGTACTGCATACAATTGAAAATAATAAAGAGATAGGCATCACAATCCAATGGTACATTTTGTCCAATATGTCAAAGACTAATCTATGTGAGAAAATTACAAGTGATTGCACATGGTGATTCGTTTATAGGGGGAAAGTCTAAAGAAAATAGACCTTTTTTTTCTCTTGTTTATCTTTTCAATCAACTGTTTCCATCATTCATATTCATTGACAAGTCACAATACGAGCTCGGATTCAAATGCAATTTGCTAAAAGACAAGACAAACCTAATCACAAACATCATTAATTGTCGTGCAACAATATAAAATTTCTCAAATCTCAAAGCAATTAGATCATAATTATAGTTAAAAATATCCCATGCAGCAGAGCCTCAACTCTTGTCAATGACTTATTCGGTGACATTGATTGGTTAAAACGTGTCATGTCTAACACCACGTATCAAACTAATGACGAATTATTTGGTAAGGTCCATTAGTTGAAAACAAGTCATGCAGCCGTTATGTCAAGTTTCATGTATCAAACTATTGATGACTTGTTTGGTAAGGTCAATTAGTTATGTTTTGAAATCAAAATCCACAAAGGGCTTTAAACTAGCTAGTATTATAGCAAAAACGATTACATGTGAGAGTGAGTTTTTGTTCAAAATATTAGGGTTTCAACCAAAACTATGAAGTATATATGATACGGAGTGAAATTAAGCCACTATGAAGTAAATACTTGCCACTCCTGAAAATCTTTGAAAAGAAACAAAATCCACAATCAGCTTGAAAAACCCTATAGGGTGGGGAGGGGTGGCGTGGAGTGGGGTTAAAGGTTGAGAAAGAGGGATTTTAAAGCCAGATCTGAATATACCACAAAATGCCAGATCTGATCTAAAAGGCTATCATGACCAAAATCATTCTATATGATTAACCCTAAAAGGCGCTTCATCTGACACAAAAGAGAAATTCAAGAATGTAATGATGAAACTTTTCTAGGTATCCCAGAAAGAATTTCGAAAAAAAGTGTCAAAATCCTTAATCATTACACCAATCTGCCGAAAACCCTTATCCAGGAATTCCATTTAGTCCCAAAAACTGCAAAAAAAAATTTGAATCGAACCTTTATTTGCCTTCAGATCAATTAATCAAAGCCCAGAAGAAGCAGTAATTGGGGGGAATGAAGCCTGGTCCGACAACGCTTGCAAGAGATCTATTTTGTTTATGAATTGATCGAAACAAAAGAGTTCTCGAGCCAGACAACATTCCCCTCAAAAAAGCACCCTCCTTTTCTTGATTTTTCATCTCAAAAACCCTTCATCAATTATATATACATATATATGTGTATCTGTGTGTGAGATCTTATCTCAGTTTTTGGCCTCTCATTTCTTTATCCCCCAAAACTTTCGCCTTCTTTCAAGGGGGAGAGAGAAAGAGAGATGAAGAGGAGGAATTGTATGATGGGGGTTATAACAAGGGAGAAAATTGAATTTCAAACGAAAAAGACAAAAGCTATTAGCAGACACTGGCCCTACCAGCTGGAGTTCCAGAAATGACCACGACCTCATGCACCCCCCGCACCCCCCTCTCTCTCGTGTACATGTACTGTGTATCTATATATGTATGTATCATTTATGCATACAAAAATATATATACCAGTTATTTTCGGCCATATAACTTGAAGTTGAATTTGGTACTTGGGCTCCTACATATATGGTCCTCGTTAGGAGTGCTCTAATACCACTATTGTTGAGAAAGTGCAATCGAACATCAACTAGAGATGGGATAAATAACAGGTTTGGCAGCATTCCACTTTTTTGGATGACGGAGGAACCCGCTACCCTTCAATATTTACCAGAAATTACAAGTGGATAGAAAGGGTAATGCGGTGGAGATTACCAACTCGGAATCCAGATATTCGTTTTATTTCAGGAGAGTTGAATTATTTGCTTGAAGTCAATAGACTTTAGTAACATATTTAACATTGACGTTTCATTTAGTTCGACTATATTAAGATAATTACTTCAACCATTTATATGTTGATTATTCTTTAGTACAATTCAGATCAATCTTGTCGATATATTTTCGTCATCCTTACAACGATAACTACCCAGATTGTTCAAAACAACAAATTAAAAGACCATTGGATTTTGCCTAACAATGAATGATTGTGTCATAGTCTCCCATGTCCACGCATTCTAATACTGTACAAAATACACACAAACACAATGAATAATGAAAGGTTAATGTAGGAGACACACACATAATGAAACATTTGACATTGTAGATGATTCTGCAGCCATGTTTATATATATATATATATAATTTCGCATCATTTTGGACCAAAAACAAAGTTAAATCAGCCAGTAAAATCTTATCATCTTAACATCTGTAATCCTGTTTGTTAAAAATATGTACAAATAACATTTTTTATAAAAGGGTATCAAAAATCTTGATGAAGACATACAGATGAGTCAGAGGAGTAGTTGAGGAATTGTGCTGCCCGATGATAGAAAAAGAAAAGAAATAAATCAAATAAAAAAATGGCATATTGAATTATTTAAGGGACCCTCGTTTGCCGTGTCCTTTCACACTAACACTAATGAAGACATCGAGAGGATGACCGACAGAGATGGAGTCAGCCCTTGTTCTTCATAATTAAATACAATGTACTTTTTTATGTGGGGTGGGGTGGGGTGTTTTTACGTGCACGGAGTTGAGAGTTTAGTTGTCTATTTGCTTGTCTAATTCATTAGGAGCTTGTTTAGTATGGTTTTTTACTTCTATTTTTGTTTTTGCTTCGAGTATTTTAAAAAAGTTACTTTAATTTTTATTGGAAAATTAATTTTTCAAAAGTATTTTTAGATATGTGTGAGCGTGCGCCCCTTACATTTGAAATTGCATTTTTTCCTTGACTAACGAGAATTGACGTGTTGATATGTTCAATTTATAGTGGACGGACACTATTTTATAACTCGATGTACATGTGTTGTTGATGAGCTTTTGATGAAAAAGTAACAATGAGACTA